TATGAGCGCACTAATCACTTTATAAATAAATATATATATATATATACATATATATATATATATATATATATATACATATATACATATATACATATATATACATATATATACATATATATATATATATATACATATATATACATATATATACATATATATATATATATATACATATATATACATATATATACATATATATACATATATATACATATATATGTATATATATATATATATATATATATATATATATATATATATATATATATATATATCGCCAAAATTTGCCAAGGTAAATCACTCAGGGATTTTTATTGTTTACATATATGCATAAACTTAATCTAAATGTATTTATCTATGAACTCTAATCTCATTTTGATTATGTACAGTTATTCTGATGTTGGAAAAGGTAATTTGGGATTTTTCTCTATATTTAATGAAATGATATTCTCTAAATGATACCGCTACTGCGAGATTGTCTTTGCTTTGTTAGAAATGTCGATAATTGGTATCAGGAAACCCGGAAATGGGAAAATCGCCTCTGTTGCATTCTCATTTGCATAAGCGTGGGTGTATACATAGGCCTAACGTGTTTACTATACATTCGTGTATTAACCAATTATTTTGCGTTTAAACAGCCTATTACGAGGTTATAGAAAATAATTGTAACATGTATATATTATGCTTACGATATTAATAATGCATCAAAATATGCGCCCGTGTGTTTTTATACTCGATGTTAAAGTTGTTGCGAGTTGACATACACACAAAAGTAACAAATTTTGGTTGTTTTGATTATCGCCAGCTAATCACATTTACTAGCTACCGATGCCTGAAAGACGCACACGCGTTTGTACATCAAGAAGGATCATCTGAAGGACGGCGAAGAGGGAGGTGGCAGGGACAAGGGCAAGGGAACCGGACAAGAACAGGGGCGGGGTAGTGGGGGGGTCCTTCTGGCGGCGACAGGGGTGTGTGTGTGTGGGGGGGGTCCTTCTGGCAAGACTCCAGAATGCAAAGTAGCTCTCTAGCAGGTGGAATGGGGAAGAGGGGGGGGGGAGCGGGAGGGATGGGACGGGATGAGGAGGGGGCGATGTAATGGCACTCTCCCAGCTCTGTTATTAATACCGAGGGTCAGTCGGCTTTTGGGATGGTGCCTCGGGGCCGTAGATGGGATATATACATATATATACATATATATACATATATATACATATATATGTATATATATATATATATATATATATATATATATATATATATATATATATATATATATATATATATATATATATATATATATATATATATATATATATATATATATATATATATATATATATATATATATATATATATATATATATATATATATATATATATATATATATATATATATATATATATATATATATATATATATATATATATATATATATATATATATATATATATATATATATATATATATATATATATATATATATATATATATATATATATATATATATATATATATATATATATATATATATATATATATATATATATATATATATATATATATATATATATATATATATATATATATATATATATATATATATATATATATATATATATATATATATATATATATATATATATATATATATATATATATATATATATATATATATATATATATATATATATATATATATATATATATATATATATATATATATATATATATATATATATATATATATATATATATATATATATATATATATATATATATATATATATATATATATATATATATATATATATATATATATATATATATATATATATATATATATATATATATATATATATATATATATATATATATATATATATATATATATATATATATATATATATATATATATATATATATATATATATATATATATATATATATATATATATATATATATATATATATATATATATATATATATATATATATATATATATATATATATATATATATATATATATATATATATATATATATATATATATATATATATATATATATATATATATATATATATATATATATATATATATATATATATATATATATATATATATATATATATATATATATATATATATATATATATATATATATATATATATATATATATATATATATATATATATATATATATATATATATATATATATATATATATATATATATATATATATATATATATATATATATATATATATATATATATATATATATATATATATATATATATATATATATATATATATATATATATATATATATATATATATATATATATATATATATATATATATATATATATATATATATATATATATATATATATATATATATATATATATATATATATATATATATATATATATATATATATATATATATATATATATATATATATATATATATATATATATATATATATATATATATATATATATATATATATATATATATATATATATATATATATATATATATATATATATATATATATATATATATATATATATATATATATATATATATATATATATATATATATATATATATATATATATATATATATATATATATATATATATATATATATATATATATATATATATATATATATATATATATATATATATATATATATATATATATATATATATATATATATATATATATATATATATATATATATATATATATATATATATATATATATATATATATATATATATATATATATATATATATATATATATATATATATATATATATATATATATATATATATATATATATATATATATATATATATATATATATATATATATATATATATATATATATATATATATATATATATATATATATATATATATATATATATATATATATATATATATATATATATATATATATATATATATATATATATATATATATATATATATATATATATATATATATATATATATATATATATATATATATATATATATATATATATATATATATATATATATATATATATATATATATATATATATATATATATATATATATATATATATATATATATATATATATATATATATATATATATATATATATATATATATATATATATATATATATATATATATATATATATATATATATATATATATATATATATATATATATATATATATATATATATATATATATATATATATATATATATATATATATATATATATATATATATATATATATATATATATATATATATATATATATATATATATATATATATATATATATATATATATATATATATATATATATATATATATATATATATATATATATATATATATATATATATATATATATATATATATATATATATATATATATATATATATATATATATATATATATATATATATATATATATATATATATATATATATATATATATATATATATATATATATATATATATATATATATATATATATATATATATATATATATATATATATATATATATATATATATATATATATATATATATATATATATATATATATATATATATATATATATATATATATATATATATATATATATATATATATATATATATATATATATATATATATATATATATATATATATATATATATATATATATATATATATATATATATATATATATATATATATATATATATATATATATATATATATATATATATATATATATATATATATATATATATCCTGGAGTAGTTTTAGCGAATTAATCAAATAAGAAAGAATAATAAACAAAGGAACTAAGCCTCCAACCCAAAAAGTAAGAACACTCACATACCTAGAGCTTCGCGGGAGAGTCTAAGATGCCATCCCTCGTCTTTTGATTCTTCTTTTAGTAAATATCTGTTCTGTTAATCCCTTTATATGCATTTCTAATAAAGGATCTTCTGTGTGGTTGAACTTCTCGGAAAATGCAGCTTTCAGAAGACTGATTATAATTCCATTGCCTTGTATCGTCAAGATTGCGGCGTTCCTTTGCCGTGGGATCTCATGGCTCTTCTTCAAATGCCTTGCAGTTGTTGCAAGTTTGGTTATTTTTTTAGGCAGTCCGTAAATATCAGTCTTTCAGGATATTTCAGCATGTACATACATACATACATACATATGTATGTATATGTACATATTCATGTATGTATGTATGTTTATATCTATGTATGTATGTTTATATCTATGTATGTATGTATTTATATATATGATGCTTATATGTATATGTGTAAAGATATACATATATACATACAAATAAATGCGATCATGTTTTGTATTCAGTCTGCTTGCAATTTAGTTCATCTGAATTGCATTGCGCTCAAGACTGCATACTGTTGCCAGAGATTACTGAAGAAGTTGAAATTCCTGTGAGTTCTCTCATTCCTTCGCTCGCTGAAGCCGTAGCCTTCTGCGGGGACGCTTGCAAGAACCGAAGGCGAGTGTTTTGTGTATCGCTGACGCCTGTGGGTTTGGAGGTGATGGGATGCGTACAAGAGATTCAGGCGAATGCAGGACACAACACACGCTGAAACAGGCAGTGGCGACCTCTTTAGCTACACTATCAGCTACATACGTAACCTCTGATGCTGTGGCCATCTGATTGTAGTTGCGTCGTAGTTTTTCGTTACTGTTATTTGTTTCTGCTATTTACTTATTATATTTCTTTATGTTTTATACGGGCCAGAACATTAGGGGTTTGCATGAAACTCAATCCGTACTAATATATGGACAGGGGATATTCTATGCATAGTTTATACGAACAAGTAACTAATACCAAAAAAAACAACAACTATTCTACGATATCTTTTCTATGGCGTGACCTAGACATAGCTAAAATACATGCTTCACTTAATTTCACTTTCAACACTAA